TCCAGCCAGCAGATCAAAAACCCTAAACTACTACTTTGATACAGCTTTTGTACTCTCACTCACCCACCTATTTTTTTCAGACTATGGAAGCCAAAGGAGAAAGAACAAAGACCAAAGGGTCTCATGCTGGCGACACACACACTGTATGAGTAAAGCACATCACAGATGGGCTTTTCACCAACAGCACAATCACATCCTATCTGGAAACTCAGCACTTCCTGCCCTGCTCTGCAATGGTTTGCTTCCTGCCACCCTCCAAGACAATGGTGAAACCAGCTACTGCCTCAACACCCACAGCAGCTTTTCAAGTAGTCTTTCCTTTCACAACAAGCTGTTGAAACTTTTCTGAACCTGTAAGATGATTATGCCCATGCAAGGTGGCGCGCACACAGATTTAAGTCATTTGAACCTGCCTGCTAGACAGAAGTGCTTGTCACTCACTGTGTGTTTGGTATCAGAAAGGATTAGGGGTTCATCACCTTAGGCCCCTACCACACCTTATATATATTACGCAGCTCACTGGTGAATCGTGCAATAAATTTAAGCAGGCCACACATGCAAAGGAGTCATTGCCCAATTCACCTAGTGAATGGCACAGTACGTTTAGATCAGCCCCCACATGCAAAGTTATCATTACACCATAAAGACGTCCATCCAGCGACTAGAAGAGCCAACTAGTTAGGAAGTTAGTGCCTGAAAATGTATATGGACTGTCCCTACCCAGCTATACGTGGGACGCAGGCCCTCAGGCTGAGATTAATGACAAATACTTTTAAAGTGAAAATAAAAAAGACGCCGAGGTGAAGGCTGCGGTGATGGAGGACCAGACATTCAGAGCAAACAAACACAAGCAGGGGATCCCTGCAAGCAGCTCGGCCACAGCGCCCAGGGAGCAGCTCCAGGCAGAGCCTGCGATTCACCCCCACGTTTCTCCTCGCAGGCCCGGGGCACCTAGCGCAGGCGCCGGGGGCCGCTCGCGAGCCGGGCGGGGATTTGTAGGGGTGGGCGCTAGTGACTGGAGCCGGTCCCGTTGCGGCTCGGGCAAAGCTCCCGGCCCCGCTCCCCCCGCGGGCGAGCGCACGTGCCCCGGCCCCTCACCGTGCCGCCGTCCTTGATGATGATCTTCTTGGCCAGCAGGATGCTGCGGTTCGCCGCCCGCTTCTTCTTCTTGCCGCCCTGGGTCATTTTACCATCCTAGTGCCCCGGGGGGGGGGGGAGCGGAGCAGGACCCTCCCCAGCAGCCGGAGCCACCGCCCGACCCCCAGCCACCGCCTCGCTCCCCGCTGCCCCTCAGGCCCCCGCCGCCATCTTGGGAAACCGACAAGCGACAGCCTCTTCCGATCACGCGATGCTCCGATTGGCTGCAGGCGGGCACGTGGCGAGGAAGCCGGCGGGGCGGGGCGGGGCGGGGCGGGGCGGGGCCTGAGGCGGCCTTTCCCATGGCAG